ACACAGAGAAGCAGAGATACAGGTAGGGTGAGAAGCAGGCTCCATGCAGGGAGCCTGATGTGGGACTCGATCCCAGGTCTCCAGGATCAGGCCCTAGGCTGAAGGCAGGCGCTAAACGTTGAGCCACCCGGGCTGCCCAGTCCAACTGATTTAAATAAATAATTGAATGAAGAAATAAGTGAGGGAGAAGAGACAAATTACACAGGATTCCATATTATATATGTAGACACCCTCTCCTCGGGAGGCAGGCTTCATTCCCCGCCCTTGACTGTGGACTGGACTTAATGACCCACTTCTTTTTCTTCTTCTTCTTCTTCTTCTTCTTCTTCTTCTTCTTCTTCTTCTTCCTTCTTCTTCTTCTTCCTTCTTCTTCTTCTTCTTCTTCTTCTTCTTCCTTCTTCTTCTTCCTTCTTCTTCTTCTTCTTCATTTATTTATTCATGAGAGACACAGAAAGAGAGGCAGAGACACAGGCAGAGGGAGAAGCAAGCTCCCTGCGGGGAGCCTGATGTGGGACCGGATCCCAGGACCCCAGGATCACGACCTGAGCCAAAGGCAGACGCTCAACCTCTGAGCCAACTGGACACCCCAATGACCGACCCACTCCTGAAGAACAGAGTACAGAAAGGGAGAAATAGTAACTTTCCAATGGAAAAAATTGGCAGGCATGACCTTCACCTAGTGATAAAGGTTAGTTAAGGTCAAGATCTTCATTAAAGGCTGCTTTGGTAATGTAAGGCAGACAATGGGAATAAGAAGGTACATCTTTCTATTACTGTGATGTAACAGTTTTATCCTTCTCTCCTTAGACCTAATTTTGACGAGTTGGAAGTCAGCGTCTCCAAAAGCTTCTTGGAGTAGCTATTTTAGATAAGATTAGTGAATGTTCCGCAAATACAGTGGTTCTCCATTGTAGGACTTCCTCCCTCCCTATGTACCCTCATATTTGGCAGTGTGTGTGTGTGGGGGTGCTGATATTTAGTGGGTAGAGACCAGGGATGCTGCTAAACATCCTACAGTGACCACCACAACAAAGAATTATCTGAGATGGTGAATCCTGAACTAATTATATACATACACCTAATAGATGTTTTTTTTGGGTACCTACACTACCCCTTATACCAAGGATACATTCTCCAGATGAGGACATGGTCTGGCTTCTCTGGAAGCTCAAAATCACGTCTGGCAGTCAGAGAAGAGATGGAATACTTTAGCACTGTATATGACATTTGTAAAAAAAAGATTTTATTTATTTATTCATGAGAGACACACACAGAGAGAGAGAGAGGCAGAGAGACATAGGCAGAGGGAGAAGCAGGCTCCATGCAGGAAGCCTGATCCCAGAACTGCAGGATCACACCCTGAGCCAAAGGCAGACACTCAACCACTGAGCCACCCAGGCGTCCCTGTATATGACATTTTCTATGTAAAGGCCACACTTGCATGCAAACAAGAACCAAAATGAATAGTCCAGATAAGTGTTCTGGGTTTCTAGAAAGGTAAAGAGTTGTCTAGAGCTGTGTGTGGAAGAGATAGGACTTTCATTTTCTTTCTTTCTTTTTTTTTTTTAATAAGACTTTATTTATTTGAGAGAGAGAGAGAGAAAACATGGGCAGGGGGGTGGGGAGAAGAAGCGAGCTCAGAGCTGGTGCAGGGCCCCATCCCAGGACCCTGGGATCATGACCCCCAGCTGATGGCAGATGCTTAATGGATTGAGATAGGACTTTTTTTTTTTTTAAAGATTTATATATATATATAAAGAGAGAGAGAGAGAGAGAGGCAGAGACACACAGGAGGAGGGAGAAGTAGGCTCCACGCCGGGAGCCTGACACGGGACTCGATCCTGAGACTCCAGGATCACGCCCTGAGCCAAAGGCAGGCGCTAAACCACTGAGCCACCCAGGGATCCCTGAGATAGGACTTTCAATGAGCTTTGACAAACCCACAGACCTTATATACAGTCCTTAGGAAAGAGGAAGATGGAAAGGACCATAATACTTTACTCTAGAAGTACCAGGATATTCTAGGAATGAAACATGGCTTCAAATAGTCACAAAGACAGTTCCTTCTGCTGCTACATGCAGAGTGGGTCTCAGCTTTTTCACACTAACTGCAGAGAGGTTTCAGGGTGGGGGAGGGGTGCATCATCAGAATCCAGGTGATGATAATGGACTGAAAAGGCTCCTTAGATGATTGATTCTGATGGGCACCCCGCCCCGCCTTCTGAGAACCCCCCCCTTCACAGATTGTCACCTATCGGATGATACAGCTGTCACAGACCTGTGCAGGCTAATACTCTTCCTTCTGCTCATATCATTCCTCCCTGGTAACTCCACTTTGTTCCCTTTTTGCTCTTTGTGCCCCAGCCCCCGTTTTAAAATACGTGACAATCAGCAACTGTAGATTGTACCATTGTTAATGGATCATTAGTACTATCCTTAATGATGACGGCAACACCTTCAAAGCTCTTTGGAAGTAGATCCTGGGGATTCCGCTGGCGGAAAAGAAACAAAGATAGAATTCTTGCCAGACTTGCTGACTTAAAAACACTTTACGCAATGTATCTGACCAGTAGATGCCGCTCTTTTCCCTTTTGTGAATGAGTTATGAATGAATAAGCCTTCCCTTTGCCCTCCCCTCCCCCAAGTGCTGTTGTAGTGAAAACCAATCTGTCCCCAAGTCCTTAATGAATCTTTGAAATTCATCATCTTTTCTTCTGGTGCAGTCTAATTCAGACCCCCCTCCTCATTCTGTCTCCTGTAATATTCTAATAATATAATAACCTCTTGCCTCTGGTATCCTGCTGCCTTTTCCCATCCAACACACAGCCATCAGAAATCACTTTCCAAAAACAGATTGCTGAAAAATGGTGTCATGGGGGATGGAGTGGGGAGGGACTCTCTGAAGGCAATGGCAGGAGCAGAAGGGTCAAGGTGAAGTGGGCGCCTTCTCCTGCCCACAGAGAATATTTGTGTCACCTGGCTGCAGGAGGGCCGGGAGGAAAGGTAACTGACTAGCAGGGGAAAGGTGGATTCAGAGTCCTGATCTTCCTGCCAAGGAATTTGAACTGGCTCAGTAGGCCACAGAGAATCCCTGAGAGGTTGTGAAAGGGGCAGGATTAGAGCTGTGCTTGAACAAGATTAATGTGACCAGGCACGCGGATGGACTGGATGAAAAGGAAGTTCAGGCAGCTTACTAGAGTCAGGAGCAAAGCACATACAGACTGATTTGCAGTCTGGGGCAATGAGGAGGGGTAGTTCTTCAACCATAATATTAATTTCAGTAAAAACAGCTGCAGAATCAATGTCAGGAAACATCTAGGAGGGGGCGCTTGGGTGGCTCAGTAGGTTAAGCATCTGCCTTCAGCTGAGGTCATGATCCCAGAGTCCTGGCATCTGCCTGCATCAGGCTCCCTGCTCAGTGGGGAGCCTGTTTCTCCCTCTCCCTCTGCTGCTCCCTCTGCTTGTGCTTTCTTACTATCTCTCTGTCAAATAAATAAAATCTTAAAAAAAAAAAAACAAAAAGGAAACATCTAGGAAGCTGGGAACATACCTACACACTTTTGAAGTCCTGTGTGCATGCGTATGTACATGTGGCTTGCCGGTACCTTGCCCAGCTGCCTTTGGGAAGAGGATTAGGTGCCAGAAGCGAAACCACTACACTTGTTGTCAAGTAAGAAGTAGGAAAAAAAAGGAAAAACAGCTTGAGCTTCTTCCCGTATCACAGGCTTTCGATGTGTTATTATTCACCACTACAGTGTCAGATTTAGATTTTCCACCTCGAGGAATTCGGTTTAGCTTTAATTAGTTGCTGTGAATATATCTGAGCCAACTCTGGGAAGCATTTATCTAGAAAATAGTTTTCACTAAAATATAAGCTGGGTATAGGGTGGTTGTTTTTCTATGAGGCTTTGTATCATGTTCACAGTTATGAATTCCCTCCAGCCATCTGGGTGCTTTTTGCCACAACCCACCACAGTTACACCGGTTATCTGTTTATTAATCATAATTTTAAATACTATAGTATCGAGACCATCTGCAGCCCCATCCGAGCTCGACGAGTAGCTGCAGGGCCGCAGAGCACACATATTTTTCAGAGAAAAGATGATGCTTGCAGGTTCTTCTGCATAGAGGCAAAACGATGCATTTTTCATCCAGCAACTTTTCAGAAAAACAAGCTTAAAAATACCAGACAAATGAAAAACAGACTTCAGCAGTTACATGCAGCTTCCTGAGTAAGTGAAAAATGTGCCTCTTGTGGTTAAAATGAGGGATCTGTTTAATATGGATGAAGTACCAACACTCCAGGCATTTTCATTGACATTTCCCTGTGACTTTTTGAACTTAGGAGTGCTGACAGGCAAGCCTACTCGGGCAGCCCCGCGGAGCGGGCGGTGGGACAGCAGAGCAGGCCGGGGGAGGTACAAGGCCGCGTCCGCTTCTCGCTCCCTCTGTTTTCCTGTGCTCTCTGCACTTCGTTTTCTTCCTCGCTTTTGCACTTGCCAGTCGTCCAGGATTCCATCTCTGAAGCCAGCCAGGAAAGCAGGCAAGGCTGGGGGCTCGTGCTCCCACAGCCCATCGCCTCTGCAGCGCTGGGCTTGCAACCCTGGACCAGACAGGGCGTTTGTAACAAGACCTCCTGCAAAGGTCAAGACGCGCTTCTTTGGGTACCTGGAAGCCAGACGCCACCCAGAGGGGCCGGGCGGAGCACATCTGAGAAACAGACCCAAAGGGTACAGGCGGGCAGGGAAGCGAGCCCCTCCCCCCCCCGCGCCCCCGCCGCCCCCCGGCCCCCTCGCTCGGTCCTCCCCAGCGGCCCCCAGCCCCAGCTCCGGGGCAGCCCCGCCGTCTGGCAGGAGCCGGGGAGAGACATGCTGTTTTGTTTAAATCCTCCACATTCTTTGCCATTTCCCCATTGGCCGGATGGGGCTACCCTCCCCGCCGCGGCCGCTGCTGATGTCAGCCTGGCTGGCGCTCGCTCCTCCCGCACCCACCTCCCCGGCCCGAGGCACACTGCGGCTCGGCGCGGGCTCCCGGGCCCCGGCGCGCGGCTGCAAACTCGCGGGCACGCACGGCGCTCGCCGAGCCCGGGGACTCGGGGGAGGGACGTGCGCGGAAGGCGCCAGCCTCCTCCCGCCCGCCCCGGCCGCCGCGAGCCCGGCTCGGAGCAACCCGCGGCCCAAGCCCGGCGCAGCCGAGCGGCCGCGGCTTCCCCTTTCTCCCGCTGCGAGCCCCGGCGCGCCTCGGGGACGGGCCCTAAAAAGAGCAGGAAACCTTGTTTACCGCCCGGGGAGAAGGGCCGGCCGAGCCTTTGTCTGGAAAGTCAGCATCTCCGGCTCCGGCCGCGGGGCGTTCCTGGTGCCATTCGCCTTGGGGCAGACCCGCCGGAGAAGGGGGTCGCCAGGTTCAGGCGGCTCGAGGCGGGGGACTTTTTGTGCATTTCGCTTGGATTCTCGCAAAGCTCCTTCCTTTCCTCCCTTGCCCGCCACCGGGCATGTCCTGATCCGGCGGCCGCTCCTGCCGCCCGGGGCTGCGGATCCGAGCGGCTTCCAGCGGGTCCCTCCCTGACTTTGCAACAGCGCGCTCGGCGAGGCCGGAGGCGGGGGAGCCCCGGACGCCCAGACCCGAGCCGTGACATGCTCGCGGGCGGAGAGGAGGAAGCCAGGAGCTGAGCTGAGCGCGCCGCCGGGGCTGCTCCGCCCGCCGGCTCTGAGCGCAGGGCTCCGGGCGCCCTGCCCCGCGCCTGGGCGGCAGCCGCGTCCTTCGGGGGCGCCCCCCGCCCCCGCCGGGGGCCCGCGGCCGGCAGGACCATGCTGCTGAAGGAGTACCGGATCTGCATGCCGCTCACCGTGGACGAGGTAAGCGCCGCGCCGGGCCCGGCCTCGCCCGCCCCCGCCCCCCCCCCCCCGCCCCGGGGCGCCGAGGACCCCGCCGCAGCCGCTCGGTCGGCGGAGCCTCCGCGGGCGGCGGGGAAGCCCTGCTGGAGCGCTGCCTCCCGACTCGGAAGGCTGGAGGGGAGGCGGGAGGGGAGCCGCTGTTTCCACTTGTCACCCCAGCGGGGGAGGGCGGCGTTGGGTGGGGCGGTGGACTCTAGGTGGAGTCTTGGGGGGCCCCCACAAACCTGACTCTTGGGGATCCGGATGCGCCAAAGGGAATTGGTGCGCCCCCCCCTCCAATGAAGAAAATGAACAGAGCAAAGCCAAGCGCCCCAAGCGCGTCCTGCTGGCTTGGGGGTGGGGTGGGGTGTGCGTGGGGAGCGGCACCCGGTCCTGGCGTGGGCCCCGGCTCCCCTCCCGCCCTTCGCTGCAAGGTCTGGGTTGGGTAGGGGAGAAGCCTCTGCCCTCGGGATCTCCAGGCCCGGAGTCCCGCTGGGGGCCACCTCGGAGCCCTAGGGGAGCCCTAGGGGAGCCCTAGGGGAGCCCTCCCCGGGCCCGGACTTCTCGCCGTCGCCGCCGGCCTGGGCGCCGCTCCCGCCACGCCCGCGCATCGAGGCTCCCAGACCTGGCTTCGACCTTTCCGCAAACCGCCTGGCTCGGAAACTTTCTGCGTCTCTTGTTTCTCCAGCGGCGGGGAGCGTGGTCTGCGGGCGAGCCCGGAGCGGCGGGGACGCGGGCGCGGCCACACGGGGGCGCCCCAGCACGTGGGTGCCGGCCCGGGGCTCGGCTCCGGGGGCTGCGGCTGCGGGGCGGGGGGCGGGGGCGGGGGGCTGGTCCTCCCACCGCTGCTCCAGCTCCATTCTCCAGATCTCCCGAAGCTTCAAGCTCCATCATTCAGGAAATGACTCAGTGAGGATTATTCAGGCCCCAGCATCCCGCGCCCCTACCTTTTCGGTGTTTTCACAATTGCTTAGCGCCCGTCCAGGGACGTCGAGGAAGCGTGAAGCCAATCGGGGAAATTTGAAACTCACTAGTGCGGGTTAGTGTGCGCCACCAAAGAGACTGCGAGCCAAACCGTGTGTCTATTTAAATACAGAGCATCTAATCTATCAGGTATATTAGTGAGCCTCTACCTTGTGGAAGGGGCGAGGCGCTTTGGGCAAGAAGCAGGTATTTAACCGATAAAGTGACTGCGCTCCCGAGGGGCCCGTCTTGATCTGTCATCTGGAGCAAGTGTTGAGGCAGGACCCATAGTACAATCCAAGGCAAGATCCAGGTAGCTGCGAGTTGACAAAACTATACATCCCCGGGACACTGGTTGCCAAAGAGAGAGGTCAGGCCCCCACCAGAATGATCGACCTGGCGATGCTGCCTGTTGGCATTTGAGGAGATAACGTTGGAGCAGAGTCTGGAAGGATGGAATGAATCCGGGTGGACAGGCAGTTTTGGGGGATGCATCTCGACCGTGTCAATCAAGTGGAGGAGCAGCACACAGCTGTGTGGGAAGTGGGGGAGGCAGATGAGTGAACCTGGTTAACCAGAGTAGTTCTAGAAAAGATTGAGATCTTCCCACCCTGGGCAGCTGAGCTGGAGCAGTGCAGCCTGGAGATGTGTGTGCTTTTTCATCTCTCCCCCCAGTGACTTTATTTATTGGTAGGGGTTTGGGATCTAGGCGCAGTGTTAGTACTGCATGAAATACTTCCAAAGTGCAGGTGATAGTCAAGAAAACAACCAGTTCTAGAATCTTCTTACTACCTACAAAATCTTTTTACTCTCTTTATTCTGATTGCTTTTTTTCGCAGGCTCTCCTGAACATTCAGGCACGGCTCTTAAGCCACTTATTGATTTATTTATGCATGCTACTAAAATACCCACCACTTCAGGGAGAAGTAATCACTTTTGAATAATACAGGTGGAGGCCCTTTCTTTTACTTGTTATTTTTTTTTGGGGGGGGGAGGGGAGGCCCTTTCTTAATTGGCAAATGAAATCAGGCTCCCCTTGTTAATAGAATATATAATTATAATTTACTTAATGTGTAATTTATTTGGACTAAAGCATGATTCAGTTTTTTTTTTAAGATTTTATTTATTTATTCATGAGAGACACATAGAGAGAGAGAGAGAGAGAGAGAGAGAGAGAGGCAGAGACACAGGCAGAGGGAGAAGCAGGCTCCATTCAGGGAGCCCAACGTGGGACTCGATCCTGGGACTACAGGATCATGCCTTGAGCAGAAGGCAGATGCTTAATTGCTCAGCCACCGAGGCGTCCCATGATTCAGTTTCTAAAAAAGTTATATTTTGAAGTTAGTTTTCCACTTGGTTAGAGAAACGGGGGTGGGGGGGGCAGTTTAGATTGATAGAGGCTTCAAACTGATAGGATTCAGATTTTCCAAGGCAGATGATGGGTGAGGAAACTAGGTACCTTGTGCCAGAGGTTAGATCCCTGGAATCTGACTTGGAGTAAACCTCCAGTGTCCACCCCCCACCCCCCACCCCCCCACCTTGTACTGTGTCCTACTGTCCTTAACATTAAAAACTGGGAAGGAGCATGAGGCGCCAATGTGGTTCCCTGGGTTGAGTGGCTGCCTTTGGCTCAGGTCGTGATCCGAGTCCTGGGATCAAGCCCCATCAGGCTCAGCTGGAGTCTGCTTCTCCCTCTCCCTCTGCTGCTCCCTCTGCTTGTGCTCTCTCTCTGTCAAATTATTAAAATCTTAAATAAAATAAAATAAAATAAAAAACTGGGAAGGGACTTAACAGTGTCTTCAAAGAAGACCATTACCATCACCTTAGTAGATAGATTCTTCAAAGCCTAACTTTTGCTTCAAGGCTTCATTTGCTTTGGGCCTGATTCCGTCTACACAGCACTTTAGGAATTTGTTTCTGTCTAAACCCCGCAGTGAATTAGGAGAGCCCATATTTATTTATTTATTTTTAAAAGTTTTACCCATTTATTCATGGGATACACAGAGAGATAGAGAGGCAGAGACACAGGTAGAGGGAGAAGCAGGCTCCATGCAAGGAGCCGGATGTGGGACTCGATCCCAGGTCTCCAGGATCACGCCCTGGGTGAAGGCAGCCGTTTAACTGCTGAGCCACCCAGGCATCCCAAGAGCGCCCATATTTTTAAAAATGACGAGAGTTGGTGAGAGAACCAATCCTGGGTTCATTCTTCTTCCCTGGCCGTATCCTTTTTTTTTTTTTTTTTTAATTTTATTTATTTATTTATGAGAGACAGAGAGAGAGAGAGAGAGGCAGAGGCAGAGGGAGAAGCAGGCTCCATGCAGGGAGCCCGATGTGGGACTCGATCCCGGGTCTCCAGGATCACGCCCTGGGCCAAAGGCGGCGCTAAACCACTGAGCCACCCGGGCTGCCCCCTGGCCTTATCCTATTTAACTCCTGGTGGAGGGGAGCATCAGGGGAACTAGTGTGCTATTATCCACATTTTGCAGGTGTGTAAACTGAGTCAGAAAAGTTAATTAGGGCAGTCCCCGTGGCGCAGTGGTTTAGCGCCGCCTGCAGCCCAGGGCGTGATCCTGGGGAACCTGGTTCGAGTCCCACGTCAGGCTCTCTGTATGATGCCTGCTTCTCCTTCTGCCTGTGTCTCTGCCTCTCTCTCTGTCTCTATGAATAAATAAATAAAATCTTTTTTTTTTTTTTTTTTTTTTTATAAAAAGAAAAGTTAAGTAATGTGGGTCAGGTCACCCAACTTGTTAATCGCCACGCCACAACTAGGGCCATGGTAAAACCCATTGTTTTTCTTTATGCTGCTCTTTCCCTGTCACTGGTATTTGATGCAAGAAAAAAGGGAAAAAAAGGAAAAAGAAAAAAACAGTTCTTGAAACTAGATTGAGTCAGGACTCTCAACTAAATGAAAAATCAAAGACCTTTTCAATTGTTAGAGAGGGTACTAGAATCTACCATTTCTCTAAGCCTTATTTTGACTCATGAAATGTTCCTGAGTTCCAGGAAAGAGGAGTAGTGTTGGGGCATAAAGAAAATAAAGCTTGACTACAGTCTTGATCAGTCTACATCAGAGTGTTGGTGTTTTGTTTTTTAGACAATTTCAGGATGAATAATTTTAAAAGGTAACATCCAATGGATTAATTTTAATAAAAAACCCCAAGGACTCCTGGGTGGCTCAGTTGGTTAAGTGTCTGCCTTCGGCTCAGGTCATGATGCTGGGGTCCTGGGATGGAGCCCCACATCTGGCTTCCTGTTTAGCAGGGAGCTTGCTTCTTCCTCTTCTGCTGCTGCTCCCCCTGCTTGTGCTCTCTTTCTTTCAAGTGAATAAATATAATCTTAAAAAAAACAAAAAACAAAAAAACAAAACCAACAACTTTGGAATAGTTTCTTCATTTATGTTCAATGTCATCTCTGAACTGAATATAAGCCATTTATTGGAAAGTTCTAGACAGTAAAGGTTCCTGGGGGCAGTAATAATAGTTGGCTCTAAAAAGATAGTTGTCAACTATCTTCATGTGGAACAATCGGTAATGTAGATTCTTTCATTTTAGACCTGGAAGGGCTAGTGGAGCTCTTCTATGGTTGAGCCATTTAATTTTGTGGAAAAGAACGTGGATGTAGAAGGTCCAGTCTCTAGTTGCCCATCTCCTAGGTAAGGGTAGGGTCTAGGCCAGAACCTGGGTCTTCTGATTTCTGTACTGAGCTGTTTTACTGTATGCCAGGGCTTCTCTCAATTTTCTTCCTCTGGGAGATTCCTCGTTGGAAGGAAATATCCCTAAGCTCACTGTGTGAAGCAGGGACACTAAGCAGCCTAAATAGTCTCTAGTTGAGGATGGCTTGGAGTCTCTGACCTTCTGTCTACTTTAGGGAACATTTGCTCGGCTGACCAGAAGGTTGGCCAGGGGGCTCTATGCAAAGCTGTTTTTGTCTAACAAGTTTACTGGTTTTCCTTAGATTGTGTATTTAATTGGAGTAACTTTTAGATGTGTGGCTCCAGGGAGATTATGGTAAAGTTCTTT